ATAGTAACTTAATGGCTAATCCTAAGAAATTTTATTTATTTTAGGTTTGAATTTTTATGTCAGTAATTATTTGTAAATTAAATATTTGATTTTTCCTACTGAAATTTGTTTAAAACAATTTATAATGATATTATGAAAAGTTAAAATAATGTTGACCAACAAGCTACCAACTTTTACATTTAAGGTTGAATTTAATGTAAGTAACCTTGAATTAATAAAACTTTCAAGTGATTAAGAATTAAAAATAATGTTGTAGTTATAAAGGCTGCTAAGAATGGCTAAATTGTCATTTTAGGTAAAAGTTATTATAACACTAAAATTAAAGAATTGTTGAAATATGATACCAATTCTGAAGTTAAAAATAATCTTACTGCGATGTTTTTCAATAGGATAAAATACTGTTGTCAAAAATTGTCGTTTTCACGACAAAAGGAAGAATCTTACACTCACGAGGCTTACTTTGCCTCGGTTTTATGCCCTCTCGAAAGTCCACAACTGTTTCTTCCTCCCATTTGGTTGTTAAATTATTACTCAAATATGTTCCTCTTTAACTCTTTAACATACATTAGATTTTACAAAAAAAAATTAAAAAGTTAGTTTGAAAGTAACGGATCTTTTAGTTTTATTTGATGTACTTTCTCCTTTCATGAATGTGCCAGTATAAGACGCATTAAGTTGCTTTAAATATAGATCAATAGCAAGTAGTTAGTTCTGTTTATTAACGTTTTTCATATTCTGTTTATTAAAGTTTTTCCTATTTTGTTTATTAAAGTTTTTGTATTCTGTTTATTAAACTTTTTCGTATTGTAAATCTTGATACGATGCCGAGTTTCTAACGGTATTTTAAACTTGGGAAAAATTATGTAATTAAATTACGGGCATAGCTTGTTTGTTTGTTTGAAGTTAAACACAAAGCTACGCAATGGACTATCTGTGCTCTGTCCACCACGGGTATCGAATCCCGTTTTCTAGCGATGTAAGTCCGCAGACATGCCGCTGTGCCACTGGGGGGGGGGGGGTCTTAGCTTATCTTCCCTTCTGTGTAAGCTGTTCATGCGTTTTTTTTAACGTGTGCTTTAAATACGTGGATGACACGTGTTACATTCGGCCACCCTTTACATTCAATTCACGCTATAAACTGAAGAGGAGGGTTTTGTTTTTCTTTTTTTCTCTTTTTGTTGCACATTACTCCTTTTTTCGACGTCGGTGTTTAGAAAGTCATTTTCTGTGGCAATGCTGCCATAAAAAAAATCGTATCACCCATGGTCACAAAAAATTATCTGTTTTCTTTACGTTTGTTTTTAAGGATTTAACTATTTGTATCTATCATAAAGATTTAATATATGAATTGATTTTGTTGTCAGTGATAGAGTATTTAATCCTAACATTATTTACAGGTCTTATAATAAGTATCCTAATAAGATAAAGGTATCACAACGCATCAGATTAAATATAAATACATATTCGGATTGTATGAGCAAGATATGCTTGCCATATGCTCGGGGTAACTTAAACAAATAGATGACGTATTTGAAAATCACACTAACTGTGGTGTAACGTTTTCTCTCCGTTATAAGTTGAGAAATTTTATTATTGGTTTTAAAGACATAGTAGAACAGGATGATAAATGTTTTATTTATAAAACTTCAAGTAAGTCTGGTTTAATTTACACTTATCAGACAGAAATTTAATATTAAAAGTTACGGATCATAAAAATGCTGCAGATAAACATAAAGTTAATGAATCAGCTTTATCTGAACAAATGGTAAGTACCGCTAATTCTATCTATTTGGAATAATGTTCAATTGGTTAATCAGATTGGTCATAAAAAATTAATTCATCATTATAAAATCTTGGGAAAGCATGAAAACTAAATAGTTTGGTTCGTGAATTTAAAAAAATATTTTTATACATCTATTTTGTGAATGCAGAGGACGTAAGAGGTAGGCTAGTTTCGTTACTTATTTAAATCTTGCATGTCGTGATAAGGTATTTAAGCTGTCTCACATAGTATCCTTTGCTTCACCTAATAATGGCGATGTAGACAGCTATAGAAACATGTAGAGAATGTCCAAAGGGGTTTTATATCATTTTTATTAAAGTTACATTATACATTACATTTTGGCGTTCTGGCATGTTTTAGTTTTAACTTTGCTTTATGTGTGAACACATGAACCTAGTCATCCTATAATACGGTTAACCATGAAGTGAAAATACGTTGTCTTTGCTCTTGGTTTGATCTATTTTTTATAGGATTAAGCGTAAAACAAATACTACAATATTGCTATTATTTTTTGCCTTCCTCTGTGTACGTTTTTCAAATAAATTCCTTCGTTTATGTTTAGCAGGAAATGATAGAGAATTCGGTTTGTATCTAATAAAACTGTCATAGCTTCTTTCCATGAGCTGTTTATAGCCTTAGAAAATACTTTATTGATTACTTAATTAATTATGCAAACAAGAAGAGTAAAGTACGATATTACACACGACACAGTGGCAATAAAGCAGCACACTGAACAAACATAACTGTAGTTTGTATATAACTCTTTTATAATTTGTTATTAAATTAATGTCTCTGGCATAATCAGATGATAAAGTTTCAAGTTCAATATAACTACGAAATTATCATTAAGTAACTTACATCTTTTTGATGGGTTTTATTTATTGATTAATTAAGTTTTGTAATAATTGAGGGTTTCAATGGTAATTTACAGCATGTCAGGATAATATAGTATAAAGTGGTATATTTGCGTGTTGATATTTATTATGTCAACTAGTGATCTCTTATTTTTACGTGGCGAGAATAAGTGCTTACTATGCTATAAATGTGAGTTTAAAAATTAATGGTTAGCATCCCTTTGTACAAGAACGAGCTTCACACTTTGGTACAGTAGGTGCGCTATAAGGGTGACAATCAAATCCCACTATTTGAAGAGACAGAAGTAATTCAAAGATTGACGGTAGGTGCTGTTGACTAACAATGGCCCCCAACCGCAAGTCAATGGACCGGTGCTGGTCCATGAGGCGGTTGAAAAAATTTGTGTTTTGAAATATTGCTAATGAAGTATTTTTTTTACAATGTAATTTAAAACTGCTTTAAAAAAGTTTAATATTTTACGAAGCAGTCCACGAAATCTTGGGATCAGTGCTAGCTGGTTCTCAATTGGAAAAACTTTGTAGCTAGCTACCTTCCCTCTAGTCTATCACTTCAAAATTTTGACTCGCAATTTAAGGGTCGTTGGTTCGAATCCCCGTCCCACCAAACATGCTGGCCCTTTCAGCCGTGAGGGCTTTATAATGTGACGGTCAATCCCACTATTCATCGGTAAAAGAGTAGCCCCAGAAATGGCGGTGGGTGGTGATGACTAGCTGCCTTCCCTATAGTCTTACACTGCTAAATTATAGAGGGCTAGCGCAGATAGCCTTCATGTAGCTTTGCGCGAAATTCAAAACAAACCAAACCACTTCAAAATTAGAGACGGCTATGCGTAGACAGTCGTTTACGAAATTTTGCGCGAAAATACTAAAATAAAACAAACTCAAATTTTACAAAATAGAACATTATAAACATGTGATTCATAGATTCAAGCCCTTCTTCATAAGAATCAACTAGTTGCGTCAATGCTAGATATTCTTCATATCCATATAAATAAATAAGAGTTTTGTCTGTACATTGCTTAGAATAGTGTACTTTTTGTCATATCTTTACGTTTC